GAATCCACGATGCAGCTGCCACTGGACCAATACAGACTGGATGAGAAAACTCCAGTTAAGAGGCTGGTGCTCCAACTCAAAGGAAACTAAGGGCGATGGTCATGGGGATGGATAGAAATAGATGTCTTTGAGAGAGATTTAGGTGATTGAAATAAGATTTGGTGATTTAACATAAATGTGAGGGGACAAAAGAAGATTCTAGGCCTCTGGCTTGGAGAAAAATAACTCTAATAAGTTGGAGATTTTGTTGTTATTGTTGTTATTTAATTTGTAAACTTAGAGGAATGGAAACATATTACTTTGTTTTTTGTGTGCCATATAGAATTTACAAACCTGGAGAAGAGAGAGATAATTTAGGAAATCATAATCTGACTTACCAGCAACAGTATTGACTTGGAATATAATATGGCCTTTTTATAAAACGTGTGCAAATAAACTTATTTTTGGCCACCAGAACTTTTAAAATGCAGCGTGTGCCCTTAAAATAGGGCTTCTTGTGGACTTGTCAATATATTCTCTGGCTTTAGGGCATTTGAAGTGTCTAAAATATAGTGGGTTTTTTGAGTAGTCCGCTATGATATACATACATTATATTGGACACACAGTTTATATAGTCTAGAGGAAAAGGTATGAAGCACAGGGTAGAGGATTCAGTTCAGGCTCCTCAAATAACTGGTCTGGACTTCAGTTTCTTTTCCTGTAAGATAAGGTAGCATGATCAGATTACTAGTAATATCCTGTTTACTCTCAGTTTGCTCCAAGTATCTACTATGAATGAATATTTGAATGTATACATATGTAAATACACATATGTACACATATACACATATATATACTCGTAGAAATGTCATATGGCAACTTCAAATTTTCCTAAACATTTCACACCAGTGAAGTTTTTATTTTTCGTTTTAATTTTTTTGTGGTTTTCTTCATCTTATATTGTAGTATTTATCTACCATTATGTTTCTTTTCTGGGTAAAAAAATGTAGTATTTTCCTTCTGTCAGGGATTTTTCTCTCTGAAATTAACTTATGAGACATGAGGGCACCAGGGCACAGCACTGTGTCTGGCATCTTTCAGTGTGTCCTCTGCCTTTTTGGACTCCTGTTTATTTACAGGGTGTTCTTGTTTACCAAACATGTCTGCACATTCTAAGGAATCTAGAAATATGTATAAGGAAATTAGATGAGTATCATAAATATTTGATGTTCCAGATGATCCTCCAAAAGTATCTCTAAGTTACCGTGCAGTTCAAGCATAGGGAAAATTCTTTCAGCTTCGTAATAGAGACACATAAATTCTTAGCAAATATTTTTTTTCTTCTTCTTTTGTTCCCCAGCATACCCTATCTATAGGAGAACAACAAACTATTGCCTTTTGAGCAACCGGTGATCCAGTGGTAAATTATTCCCAACTTTTGATTCTCCTTATTTTATTTTTCTTCCTTTCTCCTTTCTATATTTGATACCCACTGGTATTTCTATAAAGATTGGGTAGGATGAAATCCAGACCAGTTTCACTTGATATTTTAAAAAAGGTTTACACTGGCAGCAATTTTTACTGTCCAGTTAAAGGACATGTAGAAATTACTTGTATGTGTTGTTCATACTATCAGTGTCCCATGAGTTTCTTCTGTGTAGAATCTGCTGCATCACCAAAGAGATAAAAAATGCAACTGTGCATGTACAAAGATAATGACTGCTCATTACCACCTGGCTAGCACATATTTTTATCAAGGCTCAGTTTTCAAAGTTGATCTGAAAATAGATGAAAAAATAAAAATAAAAAGCTCAAAAGCATGGGAATAGACTTAAGCAATAAAAAATCAGAGAGGTTAAGTTTGGGCCGGATAACAAGGGGCTTCAATTAAAGGGTTTATTTGCTTGAAATACCAACCTCTCAAGCATCCCTTATGTCTTCATGAGGAAAGGTTTTACTGATTACACATGCTAACATCTCATTAAGAATGGAACATAAGGAAGATAAATTACAGAGTCAAAAGGTGAACAAGGTAAGTGGAGGCCACAGTTAACTAAATGCAGGTCCCTTGATGTGTGTGTGTGTGTGTGTGTGTGTGTGTGTGTGTGTGTGTGTGTTTTGTACCATGTATACAATGTAAGTAGACTAACTTGCTCAGGACCAGATACAAACTAGGGATAAAAACACTGGCCTAGAGTGACCACGTGAGTATTGATTGGGAGTAATAGTAATATAGTGCTAGACTGTTTAGTGCTCAAAAGTCTAAAAATGTCAGGAGTATAGCATTTTTGCAACATAGCAATCATACTGAGTTATAATATTTTTGTTCTTTTCCCTAGAAATAAGTACTAATACAGAAATTTAAACTCTTGTCTAATTAGGAGATATTATTGGGGTAGATGTGTGAAAGAAGACAAGAAAATCTCTAATAAGATTTTTGAACACCAACAGTTTGAACTTATGTGTAAAAATATGTTGTATTTGTCAGTCAGACTCCTACAGTATTTGCCATTTAGAGATATTACTGATAATAAGATCCACTGTACTTACCCCAGTCTTTAAATTCTCAAGTGATAATTTGGTTAGTTGAGATGTTATTCCTTAGTAAACATATAGCATCAACCTGGCTTGCAATAATGGACTAATTTACCCATAGCGAAGATACAGGCAGTCAAGAGACACAGAGGAGAGAGATTGTGGGGTGTTCTACATGGCTCTCCAAATCCTTTCTTCCCACATTGGACACGCACACTCTGTCTTTAAGGAAAGCTTTATTGGTTTACCCCACAGGTAAACACAGGAGATAAAAATATCTCCATTTTCACTCTAGAAAGTGTAAAGCTTTGGGACATTTTTCTGGCAGCCATAAGCAATTATTCTACAGATCCTGAGTTTATTTACTACACAGGACATCCTGCTAAGGACTTTTATAGATACAGACTCTTTTTCCTACTAAATATTACTAGTGTCTACCTGGAGGTCTAGTTGACAAAGGCAACCTCCTTTCTTTTTTTTTTCTCCCCCCTGGCCTGCACCACTCACCTCCTCAACACGTGTAACAGGAGAAGAAGTGGATGGGATTTTAGACCAGTTGCTTTAACACTTTTTCCCCCAATTACTAATCAGTGAAATGTAATTGAGTCAAAACTTGCAAAAACCATTCCCAAAAACATGTTAAGATTTAAGCATGTATTGAAATTTTGAAACCTTAGGGTTGCAAACTAGCTGAAAAAGATCAGGAAGATCTGGAAGAACTGGAAAGTCTTTAAAATTAAAGAATGAAATAATCATGTAGAAATCGTGATGGTGATGATGATAGCAATTAAATTCTCACCACTTTTCAAGCACTTCTCTATATTCTTTATGGGTATGGTTTTATAAAACACATAATAATCTTCTGGGGTAGGCACTATTATTTTACCATTTAACAGATGTAGAAACTGGGGCATAGATGAAATTAAATGACTTAGCAAGGTTCACCAACAAGTAGATTCTGCCACCATTTATCAAATTTAGGAAACCCGACTCCCAAATCCATGGTATTAACATAATCATATATGAGAAGAGCATAGACATATCAAATCCAACATATTTTTATTAATAAAACTAGATAATAAAAGAGAAGCTGGCTTATTAAAAAATACTAGTGGTGGGGTGCCTGGTTGGCTCAAACAGTTAAGCATCTGACTTCAGCTCACGTCATGATTTTGCAGTTCCTGGGTTCAAGCCTCATGTCGGGCTCTATCTATGCTGACAGCTCAGAGCCTGGAGCCTATTCGGATTCTGTGTCTTCTTTTCTCTCTGCCCCTCCCCTGCTTGTATCCTGTCTCTCTCCTTCTCTCAAAAATAAAATAAAAACATTTTTAAAAAATTAAAAAATAATAGTGGAGAATCAGTTTTGTTGATTATCGCTGTGGCAAAAATGAAGTAAATACTGAAATTAATGAGTAAACAAAGGTTTATTGAATATCTGTTTTGAATGTAGTGTCATATGATGGCCTACAAGACACAGATGAAATAGAAGTTGTAGCAAATAGCATAAAACCTGCTAAAAAAGACTGGAAGTTGAGTTAGAAGATATGGCAAATGAGATATACTTAAGTATCAGCATCAGAGAAGTGATAATTGAAGCAATTTTCAAACAGATAATTTTTCCAAATAAATGTGATTATCAGGCTAAAATTCTAAGTTAAAATGCTTTAGTATAGGAGTGATTTGGAATATGATTTTCATTTGTAAAGTTCTAAATAATGTGAAGGCATATAAACTAAACTGAGAAGAGTGGTAAACAAGAATGAGAGAAGTATGACCTACATTGCCATCTGTTGGGGAAATGAACATCTGTCACGTGGAATGAAAGATGAAGTTTGGAAATTCCCAATGAATCTCAACAGCCAGCATTACTATTTAAGAGCAAAAACAGATTTCAAGCCTAATTTAGCTTTTTAATTTTTTTTTAATTTGGAAAAGATATTTAAAGAAGAAAAAAAATGTCTCCAATCAGTTAGAAACCATGGCTTTTAAGATTCCCAGATACAATTTTAGATCAAATTAGAATAGAATTGTGCTAGAGAAAGAATATTGTCAAAACTTATCTCCAGAGTACATTTTATGCTCTCCAGAAGCATCTTGTTTTCTGACTAATGAATCTGTGCATTTCATAAGATACGGTGGCAAAAATCCAACCCCAGAATTTAGTCTCAGTTCTAACATGGTGTCATTTTGAGTAGTCATTTCACTCTTTAGATCTAAATTCCCTTGTTTATAATGTGGATGAGATTGGATTAAGTTATTCCTGAGGTTACCTTTCAGTTGCTCTCCTATTTATTATGTGCACCTATTTTTAAAAAGCCTGTTAATAATTGCGTGCTTGATATATTGATTTTATAGATAGAAATAGTGTTCCTACAGCTACTTTTTCTCCTTCTTTTCCACCCCTCTTCCTCATTATTAGTATTGTTGTTGTTGTTGTTATTTTACTTCTTCTGAAATCTTACATCAGTATCTTTTCTCTCCTTTAGGGTGGAGTCAGTGGGTTGACTGGAGAGCTAGAATTTGGAGATAATGGAGGAAATCCCAATGTCCACTTTGAAATTCTTGGAACAAACTATGGAGAAGAGCTTGGCCGAGGTGTTCGCAAAGTAAGACTAGACACATTGATAAATGTTTTTTTTTCCTAAAGCAGCTATAATTTTGTTTGATTTTACTCCATGCAATATGGTTACAGTAGGTATTAAAGTTCATATTGTAGTTTGACAGAGAAGGGGAAGGGGAGAATTACTCATTTAAATGACGTTAAATACTTATCAGAAGTATTAAGCAATACACTCCATTTATGGCCTAGAATGATTAAAGGAAAAAAAGTAATCTAACGGTTTCCTAGGGAACTAGCATCATCTTCTATTCATTATAATAATTTTTATAAAATAGTGGATTTAATATTCATAGAATGCATATCTTCTTGGTTTTTAACTTGTAACATGCACAAAATCAGAATGAGAGCTTTGATAAACTTCATATAGTAAGAGGAAAGTCTACTCTAAAAAGTGACCTTACAGGAATTCAAATTCTATCCTTGTCATGTAATAAGTAGAAAATGATTTGTAGGAAATTCGCTCTTGTTCTGTACCACAGACCACATGTAAGAAGGTGAGTGATAATAAGGGATGTTTTATGAACTACTGGTACAATAGCTTTCTCAAGGACAAATATAAAAGGCCCTGTAGAAATTACTTGTCTATAGTTGGGATTTGCCATTTTTTCTATATTTTTGGTAGGAAAAAATCTAAGATGATTGAGTGCACTTCCAGGGCTCACAACTGTAAATTTCTAACTGTATAAAGGTGGCTGAATTGAGAATAAGAGGTTCTTCCGTAGGTGTTTCTCTCCAGTGCTGACATGCAGGCTGCACAGAAATATAGACAAAACAAAGTTAGGAGTTATATTCTAATCCGCAGTAAAAATTTGCCAGTAAACTTATGCTAGAGAGGAGTAGAAACTACGCTAATGTGTTTTTAATTATTGTTTCATAGTGAAATGTAGGACGCATAAAAACTGCGTAAAACACAATGAGAGTTTATTGAATTATTTTAAAGGAAACACCACTACTATGGTCAAGAACTACAACATATCAAGCATCCTAAACACCCCCACAGACTTCTCCCTGATACATCCCTGACCCCTCTTCTCACCAGTATAACCATCAGTCTGAATTTTATGATACTCATTTCTTTACATTTTAAATATAGTTTTATCACTATGTGCATGCTTAAATAACATAATTGAATTTTGCCAATATTTCAGTTTATTAATGGACTCAATATTGCATATATTCTCTTTTCTTGCTTCTTATGTTCAACATTCTGTTTGTGTTATTCATTTTTGTCATTACATGTAGTTGTAGTTTATTTCTATATTGCTGTATTGTTTTCTACCACGTGAATGTGTCACAATCAACTGTGGGTGTCTATCCATTTTTAGATTATTACAAGCAAAGCTGTTATAAATATTCTTAGACATATATCTTGGATATATACTCTAGAACTTGTGCGTATATTTCTGTGGGTTTGGAGTAGAATTTCTTAATACAAGGAAGGAAGCATATTGGGGCACATGGGTGGCTCAGTCTGTTGAGCATCCAACTCTTGATCTTAGCTCAGGTCTTGATCTTAGGGTTGTGAGTTCAAGCTCTGTATTGGGCTCCAAGCTTGGCTTAGAGCCTACATAAATATGTATATATCTATATATCTATACACACATCTATATATATATATATATATATATACACATCTATATATATATATACACATATATACACACACACATATATATATTACACATCTATCTATATATATATATGTATACACATATATATGAAAGCATATCTTGAATTTTACTGTATAACCTCAAACCCATTTTCATAGAGATTTGCTAATTTTCATAACATCAGCAATGCAATGATTTCTCGTGGCCCTGTCCTCTCACCAAATTTTGGTTTCATTAGACTTCAATTTTTATTAAGTTGTTTGGTATATAATGATGTATCTTCATGGTTTCAATTTTTGTTTCAGTGATTATATAAAGGTTCTGTATATTTTCTTATACTTTTTGGCACTTCAGCTTTCTTTTGGAATTAATTGCCTGTTCAAGTCCTTTGTACCTGTTCCTTTGGGTTGTCTTTTGTTTTTATAATTGATTCTAGGAGCTATAAATATATATATTTAAGTGGTTACTTAAATTCCATTTATTTTCACAGTCTCTTAACTCTAGAGAACAAACTGAGGGTTCCTGGATTGGAGGTAGGAAGGGGGAAGGGTTAAATAAGTCATGGAAATTAAGGAGGGCATTTGTTGTGATGAGCACTGGGTGTCGTATGTAAGTGGTGAATCACTAAATTCTCCACCTGAAACTAATATTACCCTGTAAACTAACTGGAGTTTAAATAAAAACTTGAAAAAAGAGTATTTCCCTGAAGACCCTGGGGCAAGTAGCCCCTGCGATGGTAAAGTTGACTCTTTTCCCATCACCTAGCAAGAAAAGAAAAAGAAAATCCTCTTGCCTATCAACACCGGTGCCATTATCCTCTATCAATATCCACCTTCCCTACTAGGGACTTTTACTTTTGCACTGGCAGCTGGAAGTCAGCTCTTAGTTGCCAAAGCCTTCTCTCCTAACTACCAACACTTACAAAGGTACACCTTAAATAAATTTGGAATTCATTTCTTTCATGACCCCTTGCATTCAACAGTAGTGTAATTAATTTATCATTGATTTGGAGTATGTTAATTCTTTTTTTATCTGTTTGTTTCAAGTTTTTATTTAAATTCTAGTTAGTTAACATATAGTGTAATTTTTGTTTCAGGAGAATTTAATGAGTCATCACTTACACCCAGTGCTCATTAGAACAAGTTCCCTCCTTGGTACCCATCACCCATCTAGCCCATCCCCCCCCACCTCCCCCCCCCCCCAACAACCATCAGTTTGTTCTCTGTATTTAAGAATCTCTTATAGTTTGCCTCCCTCTCTCTTTTTTTTTCCTCCCCATATGTTCATCTGTTTTGTTTCTTACGTTCCTCATGTGAGTGAAATCATATGGTATTTGTCTTTCTCTGATTTATTTCACTTAGCATAATATACTCTAGCTCCATTCACGTCACTGCAAATGGCAGGATTACATTCTTTCTGATGGCTGAGTAATATTCCAGTATGTATATATATCACCTCTTCTTTATCCATTCATCAGTCAATGGACATTTGGGCTCTTTCAATAATTTGGCTACTGTAGATAATGCTGCTATAAACATTGAAGTGCATGTGCCCCTTTGAATTAATATTTTTGTATCCTTTGGGTAAATACTTATTAGTGTGATTGCTATATCATAAGGTAGTTCTATTTTTAACTTCTTGAGGAATTTCCATACTGTTTTCCAGAATCACTATACCAGTTTGCATTCCCACCAATAGTACAAGAGGGTTCCCTTTTCTCCACATGCCCTCCATCACCTGTTGTTTCTTGTGTTGTTGATTTTAGCCATTCTGACAGGTGTGAGCTGATGTCTCATTGTAGTTTTGATTTGTATTTCTCTGATGATGAATGATGTTGAGCATCTTTTAATGTGTCTGTTAGCCATTTATATGTCTTCTTTGGAAAAATGTCTACTCATGTCTTCTCCCCATGTTTTAATTGGATTATTTGTTTTTTAGGTGTTGAGATTTTGAAGTTCTTTAAATATTTTGGATACTAACTCTTTATCAGATAATATCATTTGCAAATATCTTCCTCCATTCCATAGGTTGCCTTTTAGTGTTTTTGATTGTTTCCTTCATTGTGAAAATGTTTGTTTTGATGAGGTCCCAATAGTTTATTTTTGCTTTCATTTCCTTTACCTGAGAAGATATATCTAGAAAGAAGTTGCTCCAGTGAGTATCAAATCGGTTACTGCCGATTTTTTCCTTTAAGATTTTTATGGTTTCAAGTCTCACATTTAGGTCTTTAATCCATTTTGAATTTACTTTTGTGTATGGTGTAAGAAAGTGATCTAGTTTCATTCTTTTGTATATTGCTGTCCAGTTTTCGCAACACCATTTGTTGAAGAGACTTTTTCCCATTGGATATGATCATTCTTTCCCGCTTTGTCAAAGATTAATTGGCCATATAGTTGTGGGTTCGTTTCTAAGTGTTTCATTGATCTGTGTGTCTATTTAGTGCTGATACTACACTGTTTTCACCACTACAACTTTATAATTTAATTCAGAGTCTGAAATTGTGATTCATCAAGCTTTGCTTTTCTTTTTCAAAGTTTCTTTGACTGTTAGGGGTCTTTTGTGGTTCCATACAAATTTTAGGATTATCTGTTCCAGGTCTGTGAAACATGCTATTGCTATCTTGATAGGGATTGAATTATATATGTAGATTGTTTTGGGGAGTAGAGACAATTTTTAAATGTTTATTTATTTTTGAGGGGTGTGTGTGTAAACAGGGGGAGGGGCAGAGAGAGAGGAAAGAGAGAATTCCAATGAAGGGTTTGATCTCGTGAACTTTGAAATCATGACTTTAGCCAAAATCAAGAGTCACACGTTTAACCCACTGAGCCACCCAGGTGCCCCTGGGTAGTATAAACATTTTTACATTATTTATTCTTCCAATCCATGAGCATGGAATGTTTTTCAATTTCTTTGTGTCATTTTTAATTTCTTTCATCAGTGTTTTATACTTTTCATATTACAGGTCTTTCACCTGGTTCGGTTTATTCCTAGGTATCTTATCGTTTTGGGTACAGTTGTTAATGGGAGTGATTCCTTAATTTCTCTTTCTGCTGTTTCATTATTGGTGTATAGAAATGCAGATTTCTATATTTAAGATTTCTGTACACTGACTTTTGTATACTGAGATTTACTGAATTCTTTTATCAGTTCTAGCAGTTTTTTTTTTTGTACAATCTTTTGGGTTTTCTATATAGAGTATCAGCAAACAGTGAAACAGCAAACTATTTTCTGCGAACAGTGAAAGTTAACTTCTTCCTCAGTGACTTAGATGCCTTTTATTTCTTTTTGTTGTCTTATTGCTGTGGGTAAGACTTCCAGTACTACTAAATAACAGTGGTGAGAGTGAACATCCCTGTCTTGTTCCTGACCATAGAGG